CGCCGAAGATGGCGCGCCGGGAGGCCGACGTGGCGCTCCTGCTCTGCGCCGCCCTGCTGCTGGCGGCGGGCGGCCCGGCGCGCTGCGCCCGCGAGGAGCCGGAGGAGGGCGGCCGCGCCGGGCGGCAGGGGGAGCGCCCCCCGTCCTGCCACGGCGCCTTCGACCTCTACTTCGTCCTGGACAAGTGAGTGCCCGGCCGGCGGCGCGCCGGGTGCTCTCCGCGGCTCCCCGAGGCCGGCCTGCCGCGGGCCTTCCGGGCACGGCGGGCGCCCGTTCTGCGGGGACGCGGGAGCTCCGCGCTCTGCCCCGGGGGGCGAGCAGGCCGCCCGCGCCCCCTGCCCCCGCTCTCGGGCACATCGCCACTTTCCCAGGAAGCGGCGGCGGCGGCGCGGTGGGTGCTGAGCCCGGGCCCTGCAGACCCGCGGAAGGGCCTGGCTGCTGGGGTTTCCCGGGCGCCGGCTGCGGGGGGCGAGCGCGCCGACCGGAGGGGCTGCGCTGCAGCCTCGCGTCCTGTGGCAAGTCGGCGGGCCCCGACGCCGCCGGCGCGCCCGTCCGAGCCCAGCCGCCGGCCCTGCTTGCCGGGCCAGAGAGGAGAGGCCCTGCGGAGGTGGCCGACATCGCGGCGCGCTGGTCCGCGGGAGCTGCGCCGGGTCGGGCCGGGCCGGGCCGGCCCGGGCCGGGCGGCGCCCGAGGGAGTCGCGCAGGGACCGCGGGCGCCTGGCGGCCCGACTCATTTCGGGGGGCCGTCAGGGGCCGGCCGGGCAGAGGCGCGAAGGCAGAGGCGCTCCCCTTCCTCCCTCGCTCGGTGTTTGTTCCCCGCTCAGCGGCTCCAAGCCGGGTGGCCGCTCTCCCTTGCACGTCTAGCCGCGGGCAGCATCATCGGGGGCCCGGGTGAGGCCGAGGGGCGACTCCGCCGGGACCCCCGTTTCCAGCTTCGCCGCGGAGCGGACGGGTTGGTCCTGCGCGGAGGGGGTCCCGTGGGGGTGTCGAGGGAGAGCGGCACGGCAAGGCGGGGGTCGGGCGTGTGATCCCGCCTCAGTCACCAGGTCGCCCCCGGCATCTTCAGAATGCACTAGCATGTGCATCTGCCTGTCATACACATACATATGGGGTGTCTAATACAGCTGTAACTGGTGCAGTGGATCTTTTAAAAATGCTGTTCAGATATTTGACTTACAGAATTCCTTTTAGGGAAGCAAAGCCGGGCAGCCTGTCCTGAAGATATTGTTGCAGTATGATTTTTCAGCCTTGCTGAATGGTGGGGAGGAGCCACGTTGCTCCCCAGACTTTGGCAGAAAAGAGAAGGCTGCAAAGCAGCCTCCCCACCGGCAGCCCACCCCCAGCTTTAGGGGAGCAGCGTGGAAAGTTCAGCAGCTGAAACACATTGGAAGAAATGGTATCTCTGGTGGTTAGGAGGAGAAACTGGGAAAAACCAAATGAGTCATAAAGCAAGTTTGGCAGATGCAATTCTTAAAATATGTATCAGATGCTTGCCAAAGGAAATGGTGTTCTTACCTGCAACATCGTTGTGAGATGCTGGCGGACCTCTGTGGGTGCCTCCCGCCTGCACCCGAGCAGTTTTAGGACCTGAACCTCAGAAGGCCTCTAAGCTTTTCTGCACAAGGCTTTTAATCACGAGTGCCTACCTTTGGCTCCATCGCAGAATTGAGGACCAAGTACAGTGGTACCTTGACTCATGAACACCTTGGTTCATGACCAAATTGGGTTGCAAACAAAAATTTCATGAAAATTTTGATGTGGGTCGTGAACTCCGCATTGGGTGGCGACCGCAATCGCGGCCATCTCCCCACCCCCGTTCCCCCAAGTGAGGAGATGGCCACGATCGCAGTTGTGTTCGTTCATGGGCACGCTCCTGCAGGAACGACGGGCGTGATCTCGGCCATCTCCCCCCCCCACCAGCACGATTGCGCCCATCCCTCCTCCCCCCCCCAGTGCGCCGGGATGACGGGCGCATGCAGGGATGACGGGCGCGCTCTCAGTCGTGCTGGGGGATGGGTGGGGAGATGGCTGCAATCTTTGTTCTTTGTCACTCTGCGTCACATTTTTCTGATTAAAAAAAAATTGGTTACAGAATGGATTAACCTTATTTACATTGAACCTTATGGGGAAATTTAACTTGACTCATGACCAATTTGGGTCATGACCAGAGTCTGGGAACAGATTAAGTTCGTGAGCCAAGGTACCACCACACTACTGGAAGAACATTTCATTTCCTGTCTTTCTGCTATATAACCTCCAGGTGGCATTGTGGTATAGTAGGAGAGCACAATCACACAAGTGAGAAAAGCATTTCTGTTTGCTTTCATAGAATGCTTCACTTTCCCTGCCCAATAGAGACCTGTGGAAAGGGCTGTGTAGACACAGGGGCAAAATGAGAGTGTCCTGACATTGCCTCCAGAGCCTGGAAGCAAGTGTGACTGGGGGCATGTGAGAAACGCCTCGTAGAGAAAGCTCTTTTCCCAGGCAGCGCTTGCGCACTCGAGCCCTGCGGGGCCATGTGTGAGACATCCTGTGTTGCGCTTGGGTGCCACCATGCCTGGCGAGCCCCACACATTCGGAGCAAATGAGCACACAAGCCAGGCCTGGCTTCGGAAGGTGGGGGCTGCTGTGGAGCCATGCAGGGTGTTCATGGGGCTGCGGCGGAGGGGGCTGGCCCAAGACGCTTTCCTGTGCCCCCACGCCCCGCAGAAACTCCACAGGAGTAGGTTTTCCTGGCATGGAGATGCAACGATGGGAAAACCTCTACCTGTTGAATTTGTGGCTCTTCTGTGGTGTCCGGGCCCTGCTGAAATTGAATGGAGCAACTGTTAAGGCTCAGTCCTTTGCACCCCTGCCTGGACGACGCGCAGCCAGTGGGATCCTTCCTGAGGAGGCTGCTGTGGATTGGGAGGGGGGTGGCAGCTCTCCCGGCAGAGATTCCCACCCGGCCTCCCAGCAATGCGCAGGGATGCTGGGCGGGAGCAACAGGACTGCACTTGCCCCTCTCTTGGTTGCCCTTGGCAAGCAGGTGGGGAGGGGCTGTCAGGACGTCTTGATCGCAGCAGCACGGGGAAGGTTACTGTCTTCTTGAAAATATTTCATCATGTAGAAACTACAGGTTATTAGTTCAAAAATACCTTTGGAAACCTTTGGTGGGTGCAGGAGCTGTGCTGTGCAGAACTGGGACGACCATCTGATTGGGGGCCCCCTCATAGTGCTCGTCATGGCGGCATGTCTCACGTATCAGATACCTTGGGGTGAAAATAAGAGGCACAGCAGCCAGACCAGCATCTGTGAGATGCACAGCAAGCAGATAGCAAGCAGAGGCCAGCTGGCTCCAAGCTGCTTTCCCAGGTACATGTCTCTGCTGCTGGAAGACAGCAGCAGGTGAACAACTGGAGGGAAGAAGAGAAGCCCTAGGCCAGTGATGGCAAAGCTTTTAGAGACCGAGTGCAGCCCCAGACCCACTGATTTATCGCAAAGTGCCAACACTGCAATAAAACCTGAATACTGAGGTTTTAGTTTAGAAAAAATAACACAGCCAGTCCAAGCATGCATATATATATGCATGCAGCGCACTGATCGGCCATGGGAAAGCTCAGACAAGTCACAGCTAATGAATGATGTCATTGCCTGGCGCCGCTATTCCTTTCCGAGCGTGCGCATGGCCCTTATGTGCGCTGTTATCCGATGCTCAGCTGTCGGGGTGATGCTGGGTCAACTTGGCTTGCTTGCCGACAGAGAGGGCTGTGGCAAACCTGTGGCACGTAGGTCGCCACCACTGCCATTGGCGATGGCTGGGGGAAGCAGCTGGAGGCGTGGGGGAAGCAGCACGCCCGTGTTTCAGCAGGGACGTGTAGCAGAGGCTGGATGAGAAGCCCTCGTAGTGGCTGCTCTTTGCAGGGGACTCTGTGGCAGCTGAGCACCTGTACCGTGGCGACTGCAGTGATGGGTTTGGAAGTCCCAAGATACCGTAGAACAAGCTATTGTTTCTTACCACGGTCTCTGTAGAGCAAATGTACCACACTCGAACGCCACAACCGGGTTTAGACGACACAAAGGCACGCCATGGTTAAAAAGCCACTGTGGCTTGCTGTGTTGTGCCAGTGTGTCAGCCAGCTAACAGTTGACCTTTCCTTCTCTAACTGATAATCCTTTCCTTTTAGATCTGGAAGTGTCAAACATCATTGGACAGAAATCTATTCCTTTGTTGAAGGCCTGGCCGAGAAGTTCATAAGGTGAAGCGGCGCTTCTCACCCTGCAGAACTCTTCTCACTGGGGCTTTGGGGTCAGTGCTGAGCTGTCCGGAATCTCACTGTGTTTTGCCATGGCTTTGTCTCACAGTCCACTGCTGCGCATGTCCTTCATCGTCTTTTCCTCACGAGGCACCACAGTCATGAAGCTGATGGAAGACAGGCAAGTTCTTCCTGTGCCAAAGGGCCCCTTTGCCAGCGGCGTCTGTGTGCCTCGCACGGCGGCTGTGGGGCACGGGGGGCTGGGCTGCTTTCGGACTGGGCTCGGCAGCTGGTGGTTTGCACTATTTCTGGCTGGTGCTCACAGGCGCTTGTGGTGGGTAGCAGCCCCCTCGAACTGCGCATGAAGTTTACCCCTGTACGCTGGAGTGATGGGGAAGAAGCGTGTTCATTCAGTTGCACCAAAAAGTGTGGGAGGAGCCTGCCCCCTGCATGGGCTTCAGGGCAGACCCTGCCATGATCAACAGGCTGGGTTCTTCCTCGGCCCCAGGTGAGAGCAGGTGCTGGGGCGGAGGGGCTGTGTCCCTGGCAGATGCAGGGCCAACATGTGGGTCTTGTGGAGGAAAGGAGACGTGCCTTGTGGGGCAAAAGAAAAGGGAGGCAGTGCACAGAGCTGTCCTGCTGGGAATGGTTTTCTGTTATTGTTGTGCCTGAGAGAGGCATGCTGGATACATCAGGAGCCCCTCAGTGGCTTAATGCACGCATGGCTTCTGGGCACTTGCATAAATTAGGTAACACAACAGCTGGAATAGTGTTGCTTTAAGACTAATTACCAGGTTGGTTAAAAATAAACAAGCAGCTGATATAAATCTGTGTAATTTGGGAGCTGAATTCATTTTGTCCTTGAGCACCGTGAAGGAAGGGTAAGCCATGATTGTCTGGCGGCGTTTATGATGCCTGATTTGTCAGGATTCGCTTTTGCCAGCTAGCAGGAAGGAGAGAAGCGCTCCAGCAGCCCCTAATTTCTGTGGCCAGCTCAGGAAAAGAACATCTCCCCAGGGCTCCAGTCTACAGGCGCAGGCTTGCTAGAGTCATCCGGTACTCTGTGGAGAGGCACACGCCCTCGTGCTCTCACCTTTTGCCTGACAAGATCGTGGTGACGGCGTCAAGGCGGGTGGCAGCCTTTGGATATTAACTTTGAACACTGAGCAGCCGAATCTTTCTTTCAATAATGGCAACCCAGGACAGAGGCTTTGTGTAAAGCCCAACGTGGAGAGCAGGTGGCCTGCATTCTGCATCCTGGAATCCGCACGACAGTCGCCAGGCGGTGGCGAGAGCTGGCGTGCCTTCCCTGGCTGCCCCAACCAGCTGCGTTTGGGGAGTCAGCGCCCCGGGTGGCCGGAGGCCAGTCATGCACTAAGACTGGATTTGGCAGGTGGCGGGTGGGATGCAAAAGCCCGCACTCCTCTCCGTTTCCAGAAGTCCCCTGCTGTGCTCAGCCTGACTCACGTCAGCGGCGATCAGGTGCTTTGTTTCCTTCGGTGTGAAGATCACCGAGTGCCTCCTGCATGCACAGTCCTCGCCAGTGGCACCAAGCAGACTTGTCTGCCTCTTTTGAAGCTGCCGTGTTTACGCACATTTCCCTGGTGCACACCAACCGCACACTCCCACCACGAAGGACATCACAGGCTTCGGCATGTAAGCTCTGCATGCAGAGGTGCTTGTGTCCTGGCTCCAGGGGTGGCAGCTTGGCTTGCTGCCGCGAGAGATAGCAGCATAATCGGGGTCCTACCCTGCCTTCCCTCCTCCTATAGCTTAAGGAAGAGGAGGGCAGAGACAATTCCAAAGAGAGAGCGATAAAATGGATCCAAGGCATTTGTCCAGATCTGGAAAGGACACACTGAGTGGGTCCTAAGCAAGCGCATGAAGGTCGATGGAGAGAGATTACTGTAAGGTTGGCCTGTTTCACAGTGAAAACAGCAATCCATCTTGCACTGAACAACATAAGGTGGAAGGACGTCTTCCAGGCTTTGCTGACTGAGATTATTAGAAGATGCAAACAATGGAAATTCCAGGCAGAGGCTCTTAGGATGCCTGGAATTAAATACATGTGGGGGCTCCCCTTTAAATCGATTATTTGGCTCAAGCATGGACAATTTTTACAGCTTCTATGGAGCAAGTGTAGGATTTTTGCAAGGAATTGACGACTGACGCCCCTAATTTGGTGAAGACACAAGAGAAGTCTCAAGAAAGGAGAAAGCAGCAACGAGGGGAACAACTGAAGGGAGAAGAAAATATTGAAGGCTGGTGACTGACGTCGTTACCTGCTCATTTCTCCCAAGGATGCTGGCTGGCCATATCTCTGGGAGAAAGGAGGCAGGGAGTTCGACCTCACATTATCGAACTTATGCTGGACCCTACCCCTGACCCTAACGGGAAGGGGGCTTGATCAATACATTGTCCACTCAGTGCTTCAATAGTTAGGGAATATCAAGAAGAGGGGTGGGAAGGTTGGAGGAGGCGGAAGGGGGAGCTCTTGCGATGTAGCTGCTTTCTGCCAGGAGCTGGAGGCAAGTTGGCCTCGCTCCCAGTTGCTGGGCCAGGAGGGCCACGGGAGCAGTTGGCAGAGGGCGGGTGGAAGGGTTGCGGATGACGATTTTTCTGGTCACAGTACAGTCACTTAATACAGATATGAATATTTGTATAATGCTAGTCTGAGAAGACCGGAAGACTGGATTGTGAGCCTGGTGGACGGTATCTCAGGTAGTCTAGATAGAATTTCCTTTAAGAGAAATGCTGTGCGCTCCCCACTGGCAACACGAACACTGCAGAGCGTGCATCAGCCGGCTGCTGACCCACTGCTGTCGGGAGACCCATCAAGGAAAACGCGTGCCGCTGGTGTGGAGCCATTTGGACCAAAGAAACCTTTGGTGGATGCATGGAGCCTCTCGAACCCTCTACTAAAGATTATGCTTTTTTTTCCAAAGAAATTTTTGCTCTCTTCCCATATAGATCATACATTTATTTTAGAGTTACTCGCATCATCATTGCTCGGGATAGATTTTGCACCTATTTTGATCTCTGATCCTGCTGAAGCTGCAATGGCTTACGGATAATAACAAGCTTAATAAATCTATGATGAGAGGTTGAACATTAGTTTCATTATGAACTCACAGGCTATAGGAAAAATCAGAAAAGGATATACATTTCTTTTATGAAATGAATGATACTGATGAAGAAAAATCAACATTGTTATGGTGATATTTGAGAGGGAAATTTGTAATGAAGCCATCAAGATTAAATAAAGAAAAATAATTTCCAAGAAAAACTATATGGTAAAATGGTAGTATTTTATGGTAATATTATTAGAAAAACACAAGAAAACAGGCAGTAAAAAACATTCACTGAATTGCTAGGAGCTAAAGAAGAATTACAAGCTTTAGATATGAGTAAAATTCAAACAGCAGTGGTGTATTTAAAATGTGAGTATTATGAATTTAGAAATAAGAATTCAAATTGGTTAACATAAGCATTAAAGAAGAAAGCTGCTAAAAGCACAGTTAATTCTATTAAAACAAAAGATGGTGTGTTGGTAATTTCTCAAAATAGAAACATAGAAACAGTGCGAGTCAGAAGGGGCCTCCTGGGCCATCTAGTCTGACCCCCGGCTCCAGCCAGCTCTGCTCACAACATGCCCACCATGTGCACGTCCAGCCTGTCCTTGAACACCCTCACTGATGGGGCCTCAACCACCTCCCGTGGAAGCCCGTTCCACACCTTCGGGGTCCTGATTGTCAGGAAGTGCTTCCTGGCATCTAAATGGAACCTTGGTTCCCTAAGCTTTTAATGTGTTTAAAGACTATTGCCAGGAATTGTATAAATCAATAGCACCAGACGTGGATAACATTTTTTAAAACTTAAAAATTCATTAACACTTGCCTGTAGTTTGATGGTTTTACAGCTGATTCCTATAAGATATGTGGGACTCAAATTGTTCCACATCTTTTAAAAATGTGTGATTCATTATTAAGGGGAGATGAAGTACTTGCATCCTAGAAATTATTGAGAATAGTTACAATTTTGAAATTAGGAAATGACAGGGCATTCTGTTCTATGTTTCAACCAATTGCCTTGCAAAACCCAGTTCAGTTTTTAAAATATATTTTAGCCTAAAGATTGAATACTTTTATTACAAAATACATATATTTAGAGCAATATGGTTTATGCCAGGGAAGCATGTGCTAGTCGCGATATGTAGAATGCTAAATATTTTGTATAAGACTAAATTATTGGGAGGGGGGAATGGTGATACTTTCGCTTGATGCATTCAGAGCATCTGATCATGTGGAATGGAAGTACATATTTGAACTTACAAAAATGATAAATATGGGTGAGACATTTATTACATTTATGAAAATTAAACGAAAGTGCATGTTCAGTAGTAACGATTAAAGGTGTGCATTCTGAAAAATTTGAATACTGTGGAGGCACAAGGTAGGGTCATCCTTTATTACCACTGATGAATAAGGAAGAATTAAGCCTTGGCAAAAATTAAAAGAGGAAGGAAAAAGATACAATCGCTTCTCTATTTTCAGTTGGTTTCAAGGCTAGGGAAAGGACATTCAGATAGAAAGAGGTGCCATAAGAGATCCAATCAAATTTGAAATACTGATCTTTACAGCAAAAAGATCATTTATTAGTGTGCATTTACAAGCAATTTCTGCAATATGATTCTGAAACCGAACAAGTTAAAACACGTATGATAAGCTGGATGCAGAACTTTGAGGGATTTTCCTATGAGTGCTAAGAATATGCTATTGAGGACTGGGCAAAGTGTCCCAGGAGTTCTGGTCAGGACGCTTGCTCCAGATGGGTGAGGTGGAGCGTTTATGAGGGGCTCCACGGCCGGCTGCCAAATCGGAACTGCAGAGCACTTCCTTAAGGCGAGAAGCTAACGGGTGGGGCCCCGCAGGGCTCATTCTCGGGACCAGCACTGCTTCACGTTCTTACTAATGACTTGGATGAGGTTCAAGGAATGCTGGCCACGTTTGCAGGTAGCACAAATTAGGTGGGACAGCTAATACCCTGGAAGACAGGAAAAAGACTCAAGGTGATCTTGATAGGTTGGAGTGCTGGGCTGAGGACAATGGAATGAAATTCAGTAGGGACGTATGCCAAGTTCTGCACCGAGGAAGAAGAAACCAAATGCACCATTAGAAGATGGGAGATGCTCGGCTCAACAGTCCTGTAAGTGAGAAGGATCTTGGAATTGCTGTGGATCACAAGCTGGATATGAGTCAGCAATGCGACGTGGCTGCAAAAAAGCTGATTGGGTTGCATTAATAGAAGTAGACCCTCCAAAGCACACGAGTCCTGGTCGCCCTCTGTCCAGTGTGTTGGGCACCCTCTTGAATATTGTGTCCATTGTGAGTGCCTCACTTCAGGAGAGATGCTGACCATCCGGAGAAAATCCAGGACTGGAAACAAAGCCCTGGGAGGAGAGATGGAAAGCCCCGGGCCTGCTGAGCCCAGAGGGGAGAGAGCTGTGGGAGAGGAGACTGCTCACCTCCGGTGCTTGGAGGCCGGTGTGCGGAGCGGGGCCTGTGCAGCCTCCTTTTCTTCCGGTCCTTTGTGTGAATTCCTGATGGGATGCCTGGGCTGCAAGTTGTCCCAGCAGGATGCACCCCTTTTGGGAAGGCTTGCCTGGCCTTGCCGTGCTGCGCGTTATGTGATATGGCTGCCTCTCTGGTGCTTGGTGTGTGCTGAGGAAATGCTCCCTGTTCCCGTTACGGCGTGGTCGCACGTGGTGGACGTTTGTGAGGGATTGTCAATAAAATATATCAGAGCAAATGAGCTTGTTTGCTCAGAAATGCCGAGGGAAGCAGTTTGGTGTGGCAGTGGCAGTCGCTGCAGCCGTGCTGCCAGAGCTCCTCTGCCCGCACAGGGGACCCATGCGGGTGCCCGGCTGGTCAGGGCGCATGGCTCTGGCTCGTGACCACAGCGTCACCTGCAGCCAAGCACGCCCCCCCCCCGTGCCCCCCCTGCCCCACAGAGCTGCTCCTGAAAGGCTTGTCTTTCCTCCCAGGGAAGCCATCCGGCGTGGCCTGGCCGTTCTCCGGAGACAGGTGCCCGGGGGAGACACCTTCATGCACGAAGGCTTCCGGAGGGTAAGTGCTGCCCGCCCTCACCCAGGGTGGATGCCTGCCCAGGCGGCCAGTCTGTGCCACTCCGCCGGACCTGTAACGCTCCTTCCCTCTCTTGCAGGCCAACGAACAGATTCTGAAGGAGAAGCACGCAGGTAGGACGGCCATGGAGGCTCCTGCTGCCCGAGTCCGGAGGGGACGAGCAGCAAGCTGGCTGGGCAAGGGGAGGGCCTTGGGGGAGTCATTGCCAGGCCTGGCAGACACACTCTGCCCCCCTCCCCCAGTGCTTCCCGCTTCGTCCGTCTTTTGTCCAGATAGTTCCTCGCTGAATAGGAAACAGATTCGTGAAGGGCTGGCCCTCGGCGGTGCCCTCGAGGACCGGAAGCCGCCCACTTAGACGCTCCGGGGCACCCGGTGCAGGGCAGGTGGAGCCGGCGGCCCCTTCGCCCTCTCCCCCCTTCCCCCGGTGCCGGTCCTGCTGGGGCAGCTCGCGCCCAGTCTCTCCCTCCTCCCTGCCGCCACCCGGAGTGTGCCTGCTGCTGCTCGAAGGGCCGCCCTACAAGGCTGGGGCGAGCTACTCTCTCTCGGGCAGACTTGGGGGAGCCTCAGGGGCTCGGGCCCTCGCTGGAGCCCCACAAGTTGCAAAGCAGCGCAGATCAACACAGGTGGGGCAGTGCCTGCCCACGTGAAGAGCTGAATCCCAACCAAGGCATCCCCCCTTTTGCCCCCTTCGGAAAATTCCAGGCTCCACCTGCAACCGAGTCTGCGCAGTGGGAGCGATGGGCTCTCTCGGCCGCCCTTCCTCCCTTCCCAGGGGATGTGTGTTCCTGCACTCTGCCTGAGAACCACCCTGCAGGGCCTCCTGCCTGCCCACCTGGGAGTCCCCTCACTCCAGCTGCCACTTGGGCCTGCAGGCTCCACCTGGGGGGTGGAGCTGGAGAGGGCAGCCCCCGCAACACAGCACCACCCCTGAGCTCAGTGGGGGAATCGCCCTCATCCTCTGGACAATGGCTGCAGATCCTGAAATGCCTTCCTCTCTTTCGTTTAACCACACCTGTGAAACATGGCTTTACTCTGAATATTTCAGATAAAATAATGGAGTTTTTGAAAGAAAAAAAATACCCATCTTGTCCAGGCTTCTCAAAAGAAGCAAGGAAAATATGCCCTCTTTTTTATTCCTCTTTTCAAGGTCACCTTGTGTGTCTGAGTCATGAGCGAGACTCTTATTTGGCATTAAGAAAACTGTCAACACTGATCAGTGTCTTTAATTTCAAGCTACAGTGAGAGAGACATTTGAAAATATGTCGAATTATATTAAGAATAGATCCAGTAGTGCAACAATATTTTTAATTGCTGCTTGAGAAGTCCTTTCATGTTGATGCAACAACTTTTGTGAAAGTGGTTTCCTTAAGATTCTCACGCTGGTAACGCTTGGCTTGCCGGGCACCCAGAATTCTCAGGCGCTTCAGTGGCGCACCCACTGCGCAAAACCGAATCCAAACATTGCAGACTCCTTTACATACCGCATCCCATAGTAAGAGCGAAAGGCACGCATCAGCAGCACAAGCCGTGGTTGCTCCACTGGGAAAGATTTAAACATGTGCTTCACTTGATTGAAATCTGCGGAACCTGAAAGTATATCATTCCCAACAGTCCGAATGAACTACTTCAGTGGAGCTTTTGGGAACGTGTGTCCCATTGTTTGTAACGCACTTGTACTTAGTGCGAAATTGTGCTAGATGCGGAGCAAGCCAAGAGGGGCCTTCATGGTCACCCTGCCGCCGGGCTTTGGGCAATGTTATGCTGTGGGATGGAACTGGGGTTTTGTATGAACAAGCCATGGGTGGCACAGTGCAGGTGCGAAGGCCTCTCAAAATCCTCCACGGCAGTTTGGGAGCAGCGGCAGCAGCTGGCACAGCTGCGTCGCAGCCAGCCGGCCGCATGAAGTTGCGTGCACGCTGGGGGCGGGAGAGAGTCAGCAATTCTTCTTGGCAATGGCCAGATGCTGAAGTGTCAGAATCTAGGCTACATCTGCTGCGCCGTATTACTCACCTACTGCCCAGGTAACAGTAACCACCAACGTTGCAGGAATTCAGACAGCAAGTGTGATCTTCGCTCTTACGGACGGGGAGCTGCAAGAGGCTCAGTTTTCTTATGCAGAGAAAGAAGTGAGTCGCCCCAGCACCTCCTCAGATCACGTGGACACCTGCGGGCAGCCCTGCCCGGCCCCTCAGAGATGCTGCGGGTCTTTAATGCTCCCTGTCACCCCTGCAGGCCGACCGAGCACGGGCGCTCGGGGCGACCGTCTACTGTGTCGGCGTGAAGGACTTCAACGAAACCCAGGTAACGCTGAGCTCCGCTGCCGTCCCGGTTGGAGCGGCCTGGGGCGAGTCCGTCATCCCCACGTGCGATGCATGTGGAAGCACAGGCGGGTTCCCGCAGCTGGGAGGACCGGCGGCCTGGGAGCTTTTGGCGTGCGTCTGCACGTGCTCAAAGTCGTCTTGCAGGTCTGATGCGGCCCTGATGGCTGCTTGGCAGCTAAGACAGGGAGCCTGTGCAGTGGCTCTGGGTGCCTCCTCTCCATTCCTGGGGCTGGCTCCTCCGGGGGGCATTTCGGACTCTTCCTTCATAATGAGCCTCTGGGTTGCTCCTGGCGCTGAGTCCTGCTGCTGCTCTCCTGGTGTTCGGAAGTTCTCTGATGTCTTCGCGAGGCACCCTGTGTGCGCAGGCCTGCCGGGGAGTGTGCGCAAGTTGTGGAGCTGGGTTAGCCCTTCTCCCTTCTGGGCACTTTAACCTGCACCCCGTGTCGATGACTGCCTGTCTCTGCAGCTTTCGACCATCGCTGATAGCGCTGACCACGTTTTCCCCGTGACAGGAGGTTTCCACGCCCTCCGAGGGACCATTGATTCCGTAAGTGGGAATTTGCAGAGCTCGCTAAAGCTGCCTTGATGTGCTGAGCCCATGGAAGTTTTCTCGGTCGCAAACGCTGTTCTGTCCATCCTGCAGATCCTCAAGAAGTCCTGCATCGAGATCCTTGCTGCTGAGCCGTCCAGCGTCTGTGCAGGAGGTGAGGGGCGAGAGGCACTGTTACCCGGCAGCAGGGCGCTTCTGCACGCTGCCCGTTGCACAAGGACTCTGGGAGGCTTTGCATAGTGAGGCGGAGGGCCAGGCCTCTCCCGGAAGCAAGGCAAAAGCCCAGGCTAGGCCCTTGGCTTTCCCAGAGTGCCGTTGGCGTCTTGGCACCGTGCACCATCCCTCGCAACTGTTCTCCTCAAACGAGCCAGCCTAGCAGGGAAGGGGTCGAGGAATCGCTCGGGGTGGTGGGACCCTGCAGCCTCAGCTGCCGGCTTGCCATCAGAGCAGTCACCTAGACCTCCACCCGTCGGCCACGCAAAGCAGAGTAAGTAGCGGGTCTGCTGCCAGGCATGAGTGGTGACTTGCGCGTGGCTGTGGGCGAGCCTCCCCTCCGGCCACGTGCAGGGTGATGCTCGCATGGCTGGTGAAGGGTCAGAGGAGGGGGGAGCAGGAGCCTGGGTGGGCAGCCTGGCCCAGCCCTCCTGCCTCAACGTGCTTGCAGGGCCGAGTGCAGTCACGGGTGCGGCTGTGCGGCGGCAGGGACGGAGGCATCGGGGCTGCGGACATGGTCCTTCATGTCCTCGGCCCGTAAACCTGAGGAGGCGCCTCTGGCGGGGGGGCAAAGGAAGGGTGCCTACTCCTCTGCCCTGCTCCCAGTTGGTGCAGCCGTGTTGCTAAGAGCAGGAGCGCTGAGTCTCTGAATTCGTGTGCGACGCTGGTGGCATCCTACACATCCTTTTCCAATCCCTGCCTCTGCGTAGGGTGGGTGAATTATGCCAGGATCCAGGCTAGGTCTCAGCTGCCCCAAACAGTGCAGCTTGGCTGCATCCTGGTGCATTGGATGAAGCTGTCCAGAGTCTGGCAGTCACGCAAGGCTTGATATTTTCTGACCCACCAATTTGTCGCCTCTGATTTGCAGCCTGGTTTGCAGAGCGGCATCTCGCCGCATCCCTTGATTGGAAGTGACCGAGACGTGCAGCCTGCGAAGAGGCTGCCGGTCTGGAGCCAGCAGTCGGGCCTCCGCGGCCACGATGGCGCTCACGCGGTGCTGCCTTGACGGGGGCATCGCGCTGGATGTGGCACTGGCCGGCTGCCTCGGCTCCCAGGTGCGAGGCGAGCACTCAGCTGCTCATCAGAGCACGGGAGCGGAGTCGACAGCGGCCGGCACACACCAGTCCCAGCTGCCCCCTCGCTGCCAGCACTGCCTGCTCGGCTCCTGACTGACCTTTCCCCGCTCGCTGTCTTGTCAAAACCAGCAGTCTTGAGTCTGACAGTAACTAAGGAGGAAAAGGACGCCGACAGAGTCGGGGGCTCAACTCAAGCTGCGGTCACCATTTCTCCAGAACGAAGTCGTTCCTGCTGGGGAGGGGCAGGCCACAGCCTTCCGTCGGGGCTCTGGGAGAGGCCCCTGGGCACTGGCGGGGGCCCTAAGTGGACCTTCTCAGCCTCCTCCCCACTGGGAGCCCTCCTGGGCAGGTGGCCAGAGCATCTGGAAAGGCTGAGGGGCTGGAGGTCGGGCCCGCAGCCGCCCACCCTCTCTGCTGCCCTTCCCAGCCACCCGTGGGTCATGGCCCCAGAAGTGGCCGAAATGGGCAGGCCGATGGAGGGCTTCCAAATTGGCAGCGTCTGCTGGGGGAAGGCCCCCGAGACCCGTGGTGTGTCTGTGCGTTCAATGGGGCACTGGGAGCGGTGTTGGGGGAAGGTACCCAAATTGGCCGAAAACAGGCACTTTTTCGGTATTTCAGTATAGTGCTAACATGGTGGCTCTTCATGGTTCTGAATGTTTGCAGACTTCTCCTGCCTTGGCTCTTCCTTAGCCTCATAAATGCCCGGCCACCCGTGTTCCCACACTGCCGCCGGCGCGTTGCCCTCATTATCGCGTCCGTCTCCTTGCAGAATCCTACCAAGTGGTGGTGAAAGGCAACGGCTTCTATTACGCACGGAATATCGATCAAGTGCTCTGCAGTTTCAAAATCAACAACACGGTCACTTTCAGTAAGTCTCTGGCACCTCCTGTTCTGTCCGCAGCGAAGCAGCAAGAGTCAGGGAGCGCTTCTTCCCCTTCCCTGTGCCCTCCAGCTTCCAGCATCTTGCACTGCGCTCCCAGCGCTCCTGCGCATCACTCGTGATGCCCAGGACTGATGGGAGCAGAATCCCAGGAGACCCGGAGGACACCAGGCCGCTGCAGTGAAAAATGGCGAGGGAGCCCATGGCACTCTCGGAAGCCCGGGGAAGAGCCCGGGAGCCAGAGCAACCAGGCCCGCCTCTGCTCTCTGCTCCCTTGGCAGCTGGACGGGAAGAGGCCCCTGTGTGACCCGTGACTCACTGTCCAAAACGGAGCACGCGGTCCCAGGGGGTCTGCCTGTAAACCAGGTTGGGGCTGGTCCTCCTCTTCCCGAAGCCCAAGAAGTTCAGGGCCAAGCTTCCCAGGTCCAGTTCCCGTCCTAGGAGGTGCTCGGTTGGGGGCCGGGGGCCTGCCGCGAGGGAGGGTGGGGCAGGCAAGGCGGAGGGGTGCCTGGCCCCCTTCCACATGAGTATTTTGGGGATAAAGGATAGACCACCCCCCCAGCCTTGCTCCAATAAACCCGCATCCTTGTTAGGTCTAGGCCAGTCCTTGGACACAGGCCTCTGGGGGCTCCTTCTCCTTGCCCAGTGCCCCCTGCTTCCGGGGGGGGCATGTCCCCCCGCAGGGCCCGCTGCCTCATGGCATCACACGCCGTCTCCGTTTTGTCCCCCAGATGAACGCCCAACCGTGGTCCAGGACACGTACCTGCTCTGCCCTGCACCAGTGATGGACGACGTCGGGCAGTGAGTAGATCAGGCTTTCCGTGTCCCCTCCCCACTTGTGCCCCGCGTGGTCGTCTTCGAGCCATCAGGCTCCGGACGCCTGAGCCTGTGCTGTGCTGCCTCCGTCTGCTTGCGGGAGGCTTTGGGAGGTCAGCAGGACCCTCTTCCGAGCAAGTGGCGCAGAACTGGACTGCGGACGGCATGCAGGCGTGCCGTGGCTGCTCTTTGGGCAGTGAGCCCGTGGCAAGGGGCAAGGGGGCGAAGGGGGCGGAAAAGGGAAGGTCGCACGATCGGGATCCCTTCTTTATACGAGGGGATTTTGGCAGTGGCTCAAACCAGGAAGGGAAGGAACTGGGGAACTAGCAGAAGGGAAAGCAGTCCAGACTGGGGGCAGGAAGGAAGCGGGAATGGGGGCAAGTCACCAAAGAACAAACGGAGGCGCCTGAATCGGAAGAGGCCAGGCGAATGGAGGAGTATCGAGCGAAAGGATGGAAGAGACGGGAAGGAGCCAGTGATGCTTGAAGCTCCAGCCCAGGAGCATAAAGAGGGACCGTGGAGAACAGGCCCGGAAATAGTGGAGAAACGACGCAAAGTCAGGCTAAGGGAAGAGGCGGCGCAGAAAGCTGCCCAGGGCAACCCTCTGGACAGGATCACCAATCGACCAGGGAGTGGGCCTCACCGCACTGGCAAACTGCTTCCAAGTTATCCTCGACACTGGAAGCAAGCCGAACAATCCAAATAAACAATCCCAAAAATGATAAAAACAGCAGTTCAACAGAACAGCCCTTCCATGATTCTGAAAACTTGTTAGCCAAACCGTTCGCCTCCCTCAGCAGCCCACTTTCCCGGCGGTTGTAATGCAGTCTCTCCGTGCCCTAGGGTGGTTTTCCTGCAAGTCAGCATGAACAACGGGCTGACATTCGTCACCAGCTCCGTGAGCGTCACCAGCACACGCTGCGTAAGTGCAGCCCATGAGGCTCCTTCGAAAAAGTGGGGGAGAGGGCGGGAAGGAGCACGTCCTGGGGCAGGGGGGTGCTGCATGTGGCCCCGGCGGCTCCCCTCTCAGGCTGCAGGCCCATGGAACTGGCCCACGTCGCCGTCCTCCGGGCAAGCATGGGCCCCTCTGAACTGCCGGCAGGCCGCGCGGCGAGGCAGAGGCCTGCTCGGGTGCCCAGTGCGGGGTGGCCTGCCCGGCCCCTGGAGCTGAGGGCAGAGCAGAGGGCACTGGGGAAAGGGTGCACAGTTTCTTCTTGACTAGTATCTTCCCCTTTCCCTTCACTCTTCTCGTCAGTATCTTTCCTTTTCACATCATTTGCAGCCTCCACCAGCTTAGCCTTTCCTCTCTCTCTTTCCTGGGAATGGTCTGCTTGACTCACCCTCACTGAGCATCTCTTTTCTTGCACGGTAAGTCGCTTGATGTCCCTCCTGGCCTCTCCTTTGCTCTCTTTCGCCTCTGGGCATCTCTCCATCTCTGGGACATATTTTCTCAAACTGCAGCTTTTGTACTTTAAACTGACTATATTTCTTCCACAACTTTAATCCAGAACCTTGATGTTTTTGTACATTTAAGGACTGATTGCATGGGAAGGGGGCCGCACAAGAGGAAGCCCTTGAAAGACTTTCTGGCCTTTCATTCCAAAGGCAAAATATGTGTTTAAAGGGCTTTTCAGGGCCTTTCAGCTTTCCCCTACCATGGGACTCACTCACTCCTGGCTATACAATGAAATGTAAGAAAAGGACAAGGGTGATGTCAACAAAAACGCATGTGTGGGAAGGCCACTGTGGCTGAGCGGTCACACAGTTAAACTGGCACACAGAGAGAGATTTGCTTTGAAAACACAGCCCACCTTATCTCTGAGGGGTCCGGGGGCTTTGGAGAAGTCAGCACTGCATCAGCTTAAAGCACCCTTTCAAACGCTGCTCCCGGCTGACCCGGGCATCTCTGTCCCGCTTGCAGCACCACGGAACGGTCCTCTTCATCGCACTCCTGGTTCTGTTCCTGCTCCTGGCCTTGGCGCTCCTCTGGTGGTTCTGGCCACTCTGCTGCACGGTGGTGAGTAGGCGTGTTGCACCGGGCCGAGTGGTGCCGAGTGGCCTCCTTGGCAGGCCCATTTCAGAAGGGAAGACACCCCCCGCCCCCGTTTGGCCTGCATGCTTGGCCGCTGCGGAGTCAACACAGGGTGCACCAGTGGGGGAGTGTCCCCAGAAGGACGGGGGAGCAGCCCTCGCAATAGGTGCCCAAACCAGCTGCTGCTAGGAGAGGGATCCGTGGGTCTAGCCACTTCTGGGCAGCCCTGCGGCAGCCCGGGCAGGAGCCCTGCAGCCCGACCCAGTGGCCCATCCCGGTCGGCTGCTGACAAGGGCAGGCTGGCCCTGGGCCTCGCCTTGTGCCAGTCGCAGGGGGCAGTGGCTTCCTCTGAAGGGTGTCTGTGTTCCTGGGTATTAGTACCTGAGGAACAGACGGGGCTGCCTGCCCTTCCTCCGGGGCAGGTGGAGGGTAGCCCCTACAGCAGGGACGGCAGGTGCCAGGCTTTTGGAAAGCCAGCGCCCCAGGGATCGCTGAGCAGGGTGGGGTACCAAAGAGGCGATCAGAATCCATGCCCTGGGTGCCCCCGAGCAGCTTCTGGGTTGTTCTTCTTTTTGGAGTAAGTTTTATTCTTAATAAGCCCAAAAAAAAAAGAAACTAAAAACAACATCAATCATCGAGAACATCGGACCTGCTGGGTCAGCCCCCCACATTTTTTTCTGTTTATGTTAAACTATAAACATATTTAAATCTGTGCATAGTCCCATTTCTTGTTTCTGGATTGTTCTGAAGAAACTTTTGAGCAGAGCCCGCTGGCGTCCCCCACAGAAGTCCTTTCCTGGGCTCCCGGAGCGTTTTTTCCATTCCCAAAGCTTAATTCAGCAAAGCAAAGTTTACGGCATCTGAGCAACTGGCCATCATCCAGGGTCACAACTGCTAGCCAACTCTCAAAAGTTGAATGCTTTCCTTCACATTCTCTGCATTTTGTCATGCTCATCTGCAAAGCATGTAAAAAAATCTAGAAGTTCTCAAAGATACTTATTTGAGAGTACTAGGCAATAAAACAAACCCTTACAAGAGATTAGCTTCTCTTCAATAATTTTAACAATGGAGGAATATATTTGCTTCCGAGATCATTGTGGACAAAAAAATCTAGGGGAGGATGAACAGTCCCTTCCGCTGACATGCAGTTGCCGCCACACGCTCTGTCCGTGCTTGGGGGCCCTCCTGCTGCCTCCCTGATTGCCAAAGGAGGGGCAGCTGGCCTTGCCCTGGAAAGGCTGGGCAGCTCGCAGGCCATGACGAGTGTGTGTGTTTCAGGTCGTCAAGGACCCGCCCACCCCGCTGCCCCCGGAGCCCGTAAGTACCTCATTGCGCATTATAAGTACCCTGGAACAGGGCTGGGGCCGGGATCCTGTCACTTGCCGTGGGCAGGCGGGCGGGCGGGCAGGCAGGCGTGCGGAGCCGGGAGCGGAAGCCTGCTGTGACCATGTCCCCAAACGCCCGCCTCAGCGGGGCAGGGAAGCCGGCCCTCTCCCCGGCCCACCCCGGCACGCGTCTCTCTTCACAGGAGTCGGAAGACGAGGATGGGCTGCCGAAGAAGAAGTGGCCCACCGTGGACGCCTCCTACTACGGCGGGAGGGGCGTTGGCGGGATCAAGCGGATGGAGGTGCTTCCCTTGTGTTGCTGTACCCCCCGTGGTGCACCTCCCGTGCTGCTGGACTCATATGCAGGGCGCTCCCTGGAGGAGCCGCTCGGGGCTGTCTCCACGTGTGCGAGAGACCACAGAGTCACAGAGTCCCAGGACCGCAGCGCTGGAAGGGGGCTGACGGGCATCAAGTTCGCACAGTGGATTTATGTGGGAGTTGGGGACACAGCCTCCGCCAGATCTGCAGGGCGCTTGATGGCCCTGCTGAGCCCCCATCCGGTTTTCGAGGAGGGTCGCTGCTTAATGCAGTTGAATTATAACGGGTCAGTCAGGCTGGCATGCACCGCCTCCTGCCAAGCTCTGTGTGCGTGTTCAGTTTGCAGACAGTCTCTCTCTCTCGCTCTCTCGCTCTCTCGCTCTCTCGCTCTCTCTCTCTCTCTCTCTCTGTGCTATAGAGAGAAAAAAGAGGCACATGGAGTTAAATGGCGAGGAAATACCGCAAGTACCTACTGCGGCATTTCATCCGGATATTTTTCCAGTTAAAACCAGCTGCCTTTTCCCCTGCTAGTTCACGGTGTCTTGTCGCAATCAGGTGAGATGGGGTGGCAAAGGGTCAACGGAGGAAGGCGCGAAACTGGAGAAGCCGAAAAATGCCGTTGTCAGACTGCCAGAGCAAGAGTATGAGCCCTGGGAACCCAAGCCGAAGAAGTGCAGCCTGCGGAAGCCGCCCCCGCCGGGCGAGTGGTATGCCCCCATCAAGGTAGGGCATGCACTTGATAATACAGCGAACTTGTTTTAATTTTTGTTTTTCAATTCCACAAGCATTACAGGAGCATCCAGACATAAGCATGCAATGCCAGCCCGAGTCTTTCCCCCTCCACCCCCGCAGATACTCCGTGTGTAGGTACTTGGTTCCAGGAAGGGGGGTCACGGTGAGGAGGCGTGTGCAGCATCCCGGCTGGAGGCAGCCGTGGGCCGCTCTCCCTCCAGGGCGGCTGCCATGCCAGGGCTGGGGAGCAGGGGGCCGTGCCGCCCCTCCTGGGCCCACGAGGAGGAGACGCTCCTCGGCAGCAGGTGGAACTGCACCTGAGGAAAGGCGAGGCACCTCGGTGCGCTTCCGCCGCTTCCACTGCAACTTGACGGTGCTGTTTTGAGCCAGCACTGGCCAAGGCTCATGGGGGTTGTAATCCGAAGTGTCTGGAGGCACCGGGGGCCCACCCAGGCCTCTAGGCCTCCCAGCATTTTCAGGCCACAACTGCGGCAGCCAGTCAGCCGCAGTTCGGCGCCCAGCTGCCCTCGTGGATATGGCAGAACGGCCGTGCTTGTCGTTGCAGGGCAAGCTGGACGCCATCTGGGCCCTCATCCGGCGCGGCTACGATCACGTCTCTCTTCTGAGGCCGCAGCCAGGAGAGCAGGTAAGAGGCTGCGCCGGCCCTTCCTTGTAGTCAAAGCAGCCCTCTCTGTTCGCTGCCTGTTTCCCAGGGACAGTCCTCAGCTAGGCTTCCGCTCGGTGCCTTGGTGCTGCCCGCAGAAGGAGTCTGCGGCTCCGAATCGCACTGAGGCCAAAGGGCATCCTGGGGCCGAAGGACTGCAGGTGAGCGGAGCCACTGTGTTCTCGGCAGCACCCATGTGAGGGCCACTCGGGCAGGCGCAGGCAGCAGCAGGGGCCACCCCGAAAGGCTCCTCCTCTCCCTGAACCCACTCATGGGCCGCCTGGTCCCCTGGCTGGAGGTGTCCATGTGGGGAGTGGATCGCGGGCTGGACCGGGGCAATAAACGCCCCCTTACGTGTGGGAGCAGCCCTGTGCACTTGGGGATGGTCACAGGAAGCCCGCGCCATAGGGGCTGTCCTGTCCATGGATCCGGAAGAGCCAAGCAGCATCAGGCCAGTTGTGCGGACCCCCTTCCTTGAGAGTCAGGGGTCACCAATCACATCCAGGAACCCACAGATGAGTCTGATTCTTGGATCCATTTTAACAGGGCCTCAGGTCTGGGCTCTGCTGCAAGGCTGCCTCCGCTGCCATGTGTGATTGGCTGGACGGGGGGCGCCCCACGGCTGCGCCATGAATTTCCCGCCGTATTCTGAACCAGGAACTGGACTTGGTGGGGGCGGGGAATGTCCAAACCACGACGGGGAAACGCGGTCCAGCTCCTCTCCCTCGTTCTCTGCAAGTGCTTGTTCGCGGCTCCTGCTGAGGCGTTTGCTGAGAGCTCAGGCTGAACGCTCCGCTCCAGGGATGGCGGGCGACGGCTGACTGGCGCCCTCGTTGGCCGCCCTGCCCAGGGGGCGCTCAGGCGGGCAGTCGACACTGAGCCACCATGGCTGCGGGCAGGCTGCCACCCGTCCCCATCTCTGGTGCCGGTCAGACGGTAGCCAAGGGAGAGAGGCCCCCAGTCTCAGTGCTGGGCGGCATCTGTGGTCGGGAGGGGAGGGGAGGGGAGGGGAAGCCGTCTGGGGCTCCCCGAAGGGAACAGGCAGGAGACGGGCGGGCTGGTGGAGGCGGGCGCAGGGCGGGGGATCCAAGGGGCCTCGGAGGGAGGAGGCGGCCAGGGCCACGCGCTCTTCCCTGGAACTGTGGGACTAGTCAGAGCTGAGGACTCTTCTGCGTTCAGAGTTAGCCAAGCAGGAGTAGGTCTGCATTTGCCGCAGTAGAGACCTCCAGAAGGGCTTCCAGCCCTAGAATTGACCGTGGGTACGGTGGGGCTTGGCGGGGCAGCGTGTGGGCCAGCTGGAGCAGTCGGAAGGGCCGTCCCCCCCAGTGTCCCTGAGCCATGGGCAAGCCGCAGCCATTCCTTGCAAACCAAGAAGAGCCGGGCCTCCCCGCTGGGGGCCCCGCCTGCCCTCTCTCACCCACCGGTTGCAAGCTGCAGGCGCAGGAAGGCTGCTTCACCAGGACGCTGCATCGGCAGCCCGGAGGAGAGCAGAGGCCGGGCAGCGGAGGAACGCCACCGGCAAGTGCCCCGGGGGTAGAAGCCTCCTCAGCCTGAGGGCAGCGTTCCTTTCCAACGCACCTCTTGCCAGCTTGCGTCATGGCTGGCCGGCCGGCCTGCCTGCCTGCAGCCTCTTGCGGATTAACGCTTGCCGGTGCTCTGTGAGAAGCATGCTCCACTATGCATTTCAAAACCTGCACAGGAAATGCCCTGCATTCTGGCGCACCAGGAGCCTCAGGGGAAAGGCAGCCTTCTGTGCCCCCACGTTCTTGTTTGCATGAAACGATTTGAAAAAGCCCCTCATTTCTGAAGCTGCTACTGTGGAACTGAGGCAGTGCCACGCCGGCCTCTCCGTAGCAGATTCTCACGCGGACACCGGAGAGGATCGCCACGTGAGGATGGTGTTGCCGTGGGGCTGGCCGTCCTCACCAGAAGCCCGCTCAAGCGAAGCAGGGGCAGCACCTGGCGAGTGGCAAGCTGAGGGGGGCCACCTCTCCAGCAGCTCTCACTTCTGAGGGGCCCTTTTCCATGGCATTCCTGCAATTAGAAGGGTGCCTGCCAGACAAAAGCTGTCTTTTCCAGGTCTTTTTGTGAGACCTGCTCAGTTTTGACTGGAAAAAGAGTTTTACTTCCTCTGTATGATTTTTATGTTCTCCTGTCCCTGGCATGCATAATTTTATTGAAAATGATTATCAAAATACTCAGAGGCAGTTTGAAAGGAGCGGTCGTCAACGGCATCGCCACTGAGAGCTGACTTCAAAGCCCAGGAGGGCCCCACGGGGGCCGAGGAGCGGCCTGCCTGCCAAGCTCACTGTCTCCCATGTCGGCCGACTCGGTCGCCCAGGGAAGCCCCCGAGGGGCACCAGTGCACCCCACCACGCTCCTCCGCAGTGGGCTGCAGAAGGCTCCTGCCCCCAGTGATGGGGCGTTGCCAGGACCAGTAGCCACTGACCAGTAGCCTTCTCTTCCGAGAGGGGGAAGACGCCTCCAAGACCTGTCCAAGATGGTGGCTAACGCTGCCTCTTGTGGAAGCAGGTGAAGCAGCTGTCCCAAATTTCCTACTGCTCAGCTTGGGATGTTCCCAGATTTCAGCATTATGAGGAGGGGGAGCCATCACATCCCCCCTTTTGCTCACCTTTTTCTAAACGGATAGTCCCAAGCCTTGTAGCCTTCCCTGCTGGTGTTTTTCAGCTCATCTGCAAAGCTGAATTTTGATCTCTCGAAGTCTCATCTGCTGGGAATATTCCCAAGCTAACAGTTGCAATTCAGGCTTCCTCCAACCATCTTTTGCAAGGGAAGGTCCTGCGAGGAGTGCTGAGGTGACCGGGCTGGGTGTGCTTCAGTCATTTCAACTCAGCCGCATTTTCCAGGAGAAAGGCAGCGCTTGGCCTTTAGTTTACTCTACTGTCTGACAAAGCAAGTGCTGCGGCAGAGACTGGCAATGGCTGATGCTGCCCATCACTTTAACCGAAGTGGAAGCAATGCGATGCGATCTACGGGATCCCTTTTGATTATAGTCTCTGAATACGTTTGCGACGGGTGCTTGAGGGAGGCAAAGTGCAACAGAGCTGATGCTCGGCAGCCGTCTTCACAAGCAGATGCATCCATTCCTGTATGAAGCCACGCATTCAGTTTTTTGAAATTGGCATTAGCAGAGGTAAAAAGGCTGGTTTTATTTACAAAGCAATCTGAAACATTACTAATGTGTCCTTGTTGACTTCAGTTAAACTGGTGCCCTTTACATAACCCTGGCTTCCCCTCCTGACTTCCTCGCACCAGTGTGCATCAGACCAGTGTCAGTCCACTTTAATGTAAAAAATCATTGAGGACAGAGCTCAGTCCATCCCATTCCTGTAGCAAGGCCAGGATGCTTTGAGGCGGTCCTGGCAGTCAGTTTTGAGGCCAGGCACTGGCACAGAGCAGCCGCCTGAGGACCTCGGGCCTGTCCAGCTGAAAGTTCCCAGGCACTCCAGCAGTCCAGATCCTGGTAGGTCAGGCAGATCTCTGGCTGTTGTGAGCGGTGGAAGCCGCTGCCGTCTCAGAGGGGAGGTCAGCTGGACAGAAGGATGCGTGGTCCCCACACCTCGCGGAGAAAGTCCACGAAGAGCAATGCCCCTTCGTGGATTCTCTGGGTCTCGTGTCTGATGCGTTGCCACACCCGCACAAAGGGTTGGGATCTGGTCCGGGTCCAGCGAGACCACCGGCTGGCATTCCCTGCTGCGCTCATGACTGTTGCGAGCGATATCGGCAGCAAGAACGTTACTGGGTCTGCAGCAGATAATCTGTCTTTTCACTTGCACAGGGCCGATGCATAAATTTCACCAGAGTGAAGTCCGATGGGACCGTCGTCTCGTACAGCCCGGCCCAGCAGCCTCCAGAGCGGCCCGCTGTCAGCCATGCTGCGGGACACGCACCCCCTCCGGAGCCAGTGCAGCTCCCTCCCCGCAGGCAGCTGCCCCGCGGCCCTCCCCCTGCACGGCAGCCCCCGGGGCCGCCCCCATCACGGCTTCCTCCTCCGCTTCTTGCCTAAAGCCCAGGAACCGGGAGCACCTGGACGCAGTTCTTCTCAGAGCCCAGCATGAGAAGCCTGGGCTGGATGCCGAATTTGTTGCTGGTCAGCAAAATCAAAGCAAACTTCCAGGTGTCCGTTGAGAATGTTTAACTATATTTATGCCACATGTACCATAAAAATATTCCTTGCTTTCTTGGATCTACTGGGCCTAGGACAACATTAGCAAAAATAGCTAGTGGGGTGAGAGCTAACCTGATGCATGTGCTAGACCTCCGTGCCCGTCGTATGTCAAGGGTTGGATGAAACATGCCCTCGGCCAGCCCAGCGGGAAGCGGCACCACTGTCCCCTGCGATACAAGCGTGGCTGTCCCCGTCAGCAGTCCAAGGCCGCGCGAACGCGTCGCTCCGTCGCCCGGGGTCTTCACAGCAACCTGCCCCGCTGTGGCGCTGACCCTGGAGCTGCCTCCGGGGCCACTGAGGAGCGGCACGGTTCACACGACGCCTGCAGGCCCTTCAGGGTGAGGCTTCGTGTCGGCCGTGGCCAGGAGCCCATTCCGAGAGGCTGAGCGGATGCCCTCTGAGCCTCCGGCGTCACCGCCGCTTCCCACAGCCCCGGCGCCGCGCAGCAGCAGGGGAGGGCCCTTCCTGAGCCAGGCAGGCTGGCAGCGGCCTTCGAAGCAGCACTTGCCACCCAGAAGCTGCAAGCAAGGGAGCAGCGCCCTCACGGGAACACCCGGCTCCTGTTCCCCAGGGGAATCGCAGTCCCGCCACCCCACTCCCTGCCACAGCAGCCCCTGGCTTTGGGGTGCATTTGACAGAAAGCGTGTGCTTCCACGTTCTTTCTCCTCTGACTGGGGAATGACCTTCCTGGCTGCTGCCACGTGATCCACGCACTGAGCTCATTTATGCCGTGTTGCCAAGGCGCCCCCACACGCCCTTTCCTCCGTGCAGCAGTGTGGTGTTCGCACCAGGCCTCCACCGCCCTCCCACGCAACCTGCGGTGAGTCGGGCCTTCTAACGTCTGTGCTCGCAAGCAGCGGTGGGGCGTCGGCGGGGAGCCCCTTTGTGTGTGCTGCCTGGCTCTCCACACTGCCCGGGTGCCTGTCGGCTGGCCAGAAAGCAGTGACTGGAGCTGTCAGGGCGAGGCATATTTTCCGAGTCAGCCGCAGAGTGAAGAGATGGAGCTGAGCACGTTGGCAGTGAAAGAGACATCTGCAGCTGTCAGGCAGCCTCATCTTCCGCTCTCCTGCTACCGCAAACGACATGGAGATGCTTCCTGTATGTTTAGTCTGATTAAGCCTTCAAGAGACGGCTTAATCCGAGGTGCATGCAGAGCGGTGTGGCTGCAGGTTTGGGATCCCCTTGGAAGGTATGTTCCTGCAAGCTGCCCCAACCGCCATCACTGTGCGGCTCATGGGTTCGCTTCTGCTGTGCCATCGCCGGCTCTGGCGAAGGGCTGAGGGGAACCTCTTGCCCAGAAGGGCTGCTTAAACCCAGTTCAAGTCCAAAGGCTATAAGCAGCCAAGGGCAGGATAGCATAGCCCTTCCTTCAAATACTGAGCTGCCTGGGAGAGCTTCCATTCTTCGTCGTGGCCTCTGTGCATCACGCCTATGGGTGCTGCGCCTGCGCACTGCCTGTAGCCAGGAAGATTCAAACGCTGAACAGCTTCAGCAGGAACTCCACGCCCTTTCCCTCCATAGCATAAGAAGGCAGAGTGCCCGCCAGTTCCCCAGTCTTCTGGAGACTGCCGTTCGCTGTGCCTCGAGCCTTTCATCTCTCAGTCCGTAGCTATATTGTGTATCTTGATCCCCTTTTGGCCATTGTTCATCTATTCTCTTAGCTTTCTTGTAAGATTTCCAAGTTATTAATCCCCCCCCCCATTAGAAGTTTCTTCCAATTCCCCCTTTTTTCCCCTTTCCCCCCAATATATGTAGTTTATTCTCTTATATTTCTCTACTATCTTCTTTCATCTCGATGGCTTGGCATGCGGCTTTCTGCAAGTGTCCCCAGTGTGGGGCCAAGGTGTCCCCCACTGATTCGTGCAACCTGGGCCCTTTCTGCCTTGCAGAAGGTCGCAGGATGGATACGTGTGGCCATTGCCAGGCCTTCACCAAGCAGGCGCGAAGAAACTGGGAGAGCCACCTGCGCAGGCTCCTCCGGGACCAGGCCTTGGCCGCATCTGACCCACTGGCAGCCCAACCACTGCGCAGCCTCCCCTTCGGCTGCCCTCCACCCCGCCCATTGGCCAAGGGAGCTGCTCCTCTAAGTCTCCTCACAAACAAAAGGAGAAGAGGAAGCGCAGCAGATCCAACAAATCCTCGGGCCATAAGAAGCCTAAGGAGGACGGCCCATAAGACCAAGAAGGCCAACCAGCCCCGTCACCATGATTCGGGATTGTCCGCCCCGTTGGTCCCAATGGCTGTGTCGCTACCGACACCAACCCGCCCAGCTCTGCAACTGGCTGTTCAGGCAACTCCACCAGGGTCCCCGCAATGGGTCGCCCCTTCGGCCCTGTCTTCACCAGATCTTCAGGCGGCCGCCATGCTGGATCGATTTCCGATGGAGAGGTCCGGACTCTCCTCCGATGGCTGCTCCGATGACACATTCGCCCGCCCGCAGCCTTCGCCTGAGTTTTCTCCAGGGGCCCCAACTCAGCGGATGCAGCACCAGTAGCATGCTTCTGCCCGTCCTTCCGGAGACTGGGTGCAAGTGCCATGTGGGTCCCCCACCGTGAACCATGGGATGACTATGCACCCTACGGATATTATCCATCGGTACGCCAGCATACACTGTCTCCGGTCCCGAGGGACGCTCCATGGACGCCTGCAGCGGTTCCGACCAGGCGCCCTTCCTCGCTGACCGACTCCTCCTCCACTCCTCCGCTCCATTACGATTCAGAGTTGGAGGATTTGGATGCAGCATCCGTGCCAAACACAGTGATCACTACGCAGGGTCCCAGCTCACCCGAGGAGGCATATTTGACGTTTGGGGAACTGATGGCGAGATTGGCTAGGTCACTGGAGATCGAGGCCCAGCACCGCTTTGATCCCACCAACAATTTCTATAACATCATGAAGAGAGAGCAATCCACCGCCATCGTTCTGCCACTCATTACAGCGCTCTGTCAGGCGATGATGGAATCGTGGAAGTTCCCCAGCCAGCCGCCGCTGACTTCACGGCGATACGAATCTATATATCGAGTTTAAGAACAGGACATTCCATTTCTCCTTCGCCACCCGAAGCCGAACTCGATCGTCGTGGAGTCGTCCCAGGGTCGTGAGTCGAGAGAACACTCCACTCCTCACAACAAGGAAGGGCGAAAGGTTGACATGATGGCTCGCCATATTTATGCCGCCACAGGTCTCAGGCTCCGGATCTCCAATTATGAGGTGACGCTGGCTTGCTACCAGTATTTCCTCATGCAGAAATTGGAGAATATTAGTCTTGCTTCCGGAGCAGCAGAGGGACCTGGCTCGCATCTTCACCAAGGAGGCGATGCAGGTGGTGATTCAACAGCTCTCTACGGCGAGACATCATGTCGACTGCGACCCGAGGGCTCTCATTGGTGCTGGAGCCTCCAGAACTGCAGTTTTCTGGATGAGACCAAATGCCGGATAGAGAACATGCCCTTCGATGGCTCTGGGCTGTTCAGTGCCAGGACGGACCACAAGCTCAGGACCATCCACAAATTCTGCATTGCAGCTTATTGTATGGAAGTTCCTAATCAATCTAGGCGTAAGTGGTCCTACCAATACCAACCATACTCTCAGTTCCCTGGCCAGCAGCAGTTCCAGCCTCGTCAGCAGTGCCAAAAACAACCAGCGCAGCACTATCAGCAGAGCCGTCGCCGCCCAGATTCTGATAAGCGCCAGCGTTGACGGGTTGAGGGAACCTTCTCTCGTCTCCTGAATCCACCCTCCCCTCTTCCTTTTGGGGATCAATTGCAAAGTCTACTACCCATTTGGGAGTCCATCACATCTGATCAATGGGTTTTATCCATTGTGGAGCATGGATATAGAATCGAGTTTGATACTGTACCCCCATTGGGACCAATCCGATATACATCTCCATCATCGGTCCTCAAAGACAGAGTTCAACAGCTTCTTCGTAAAGGAGTGATTCGACAACTCTCATGCTCCGAGGGGTTACACAGATCCTCCCTCGCTCATCTAGCGCTGAGACTTTGGGACTGGTGCATTTCGAGGGAAATTACCCTCCTTGCTGTTCACCTAGCCAGTACTGACAACGAGGAGGCAGATGCCCTCAGCAGACAGATGTCGACAACTCACGAATGGGAGTTGGATCATCAGGTCTGTCATCACCTTTTTCTGACTTGGGGCCCTCCAGACATAGACCTATTTGCCACTCACGCGAATACAGTCTGCAAAGCCTACTGCTCCCAAGCGGGTATCAGTCCTGGCTCGAGAGGGGGCACTCTGATGATTCCATGGACGAACACAGTCTTCTATGCATTCCCTCCGATACCACTCATTCCAAGAACTCTTGCCAAGATCACCCTTGACAAGGCACGGGGAATTCTCGTCACTCCCTGGTGGCCTTGCCAGCCGTGGCTTCCTACCGTTCTCCGTCTGTCGGACAACACCTTTCAGAGACTGCCTCTCATTCCTTATCTCGTAACTCAGCAGAACGAGGCAGTATGGCACCCGGACCGTCATTCGCTCAATCTGACAGCCTGGCTCATTCGATAGGTCCTGCTACTCCCTCGGTACCGACAGTACCGTCGGATTCGACACTGGCCTGGCAGTGTCTGGACATAGCTGTTCATCCTTCTACGATACCAACAACTACTCCATCAGACTCGAGCACTCTCCATCCTGATAATCAATTCATTCTCCAGTCTGCACTAAGACCTACGACTCGTCACTCATATGCAGCTAAATGGAAGTGTTTTGCATCTTTTGCTGAAACCAACCACTTTATTGCCCATTCAGCTTCTATTGAGAATGTTCTTCAATTTCTGTTGTCCTTACACCAGACGGGACTTAAACCTTCGTCCATTAAGGTTTACATTGCTGTGATTTCTCACTACTATGGCCAGGTGGCCGGCTCATCGGTCTTCTCTAACATCCTTATTCATTGATTCCTTAGAGGCTTACAGAATCTCCAGCCACCTGTTAGATCAGTCATCCTGACATGGAGCCTCTGTTGTCCTTCAAATGCTCACCAAACCTCCTTTCAAGCCCTTGGCGACCACCGACCTACATCTCTTGTCATGAAAGACGGCCTTCCTCATTGCAGTCGCATCAGCTACAAGGGCCAGTG